TACAAAAATTAACAATATTAATGTTCTTAGTGAAGGGAATTTTTCGACGGATACAACAATTTGAAGAAAGACATCAATATTGTATGAAAATATATAAAATTCTGAAGAAGCATATAGTTCTACAAATGATGATCTATAGTACATGTATCTTTAATGTAATTTATTTTTAATTTAATTTAATTTAATATAATTGTATTTCGTTTCACCTTATTTTATTATTTCACAATTAATATTAATTAATTTTTTTTTAGTAAATATATGTTTCGTTAAGCAACTTTTAATAAACATTCTACATACACATGAAGCAAAAAGTATATTCATCTGTTGCAATAAAGCTACAAAGATACATGATACACAATAAACATAAAAAGGGAGTTTCGTCCAGTCACTACAGAAATGAAATAAAAACAGCTCGTTTTTTCCATTAATTTTGGCAAGTTGAAAATAGCATAATAACGTTATTAAAAATGTTCTCACGTCTTCACAAAACTTTACATTACTTTTCTCCCAAATGCATCAAATCCGCAATCTAACAATTACCATCAGAAAAGTTCAACAGCTGCGTCTAGATCTTCCGAAAATTCGCACGAAGCTTGTTCCACAGTCCCGAATTTCATTCGTGACCTGTACAGCCTATTTGTAGCATTCTTTTTCCTCCGTTCGAAGAAGGGAGCGTAGGTTGGCCCCGAGACTCAGGTAGATCGCAAACTAGTTCTCTCGACGGATCAGTCCACGTGCGAGAGAAGAACTCGTTGCCCGTGCATTCCCTCGAACGTCACGTGACTCTATCCGCGACGTCACGGATGAGCAGTTCAGCAGATTCGGAGTAGGGGGGACAGGGTGGTCGACCGACGCGACATGACCAATCGCAGACGTGAGAGCATCCCTGGCAACCCTGCTGCCCTCTATCCCAATACTCTGCTCGATGCTTATCCGTGACGTCACCGGCGGGGGTCACGTGACATTTGGAGGAATGCACGGCAACGATGCTCGTGACGGGACCACGTTCGCGACCAGATAGAGCAATAATTGGCGATCCGACGGACAGATACTCGAGGATACACGAAGATTGACGTCACTACGAATATCTATGCGCCAAAAGCCGGTTCGACGAAACATCCAGCTCTCCGGAACGTTGCCTACCCCGGCTCCAAACGGCCGACAATTTATTCGAGCCTCGTTCAACTTTATTCCGCTCGTAATTGTTCTTTCCGGCCGAAACAATATTTTCCCTGCTGGCTCGCTCGCACACGAGCTTCGCGCGAACCGGCTCGATTCATGACGCACAGCGGGGTATGTATGTATTTAGCGCAATCGGCGCGCCAAAATTATAATCATTTTCGTTTTCCTAAAAACGAGTGGAACTTTTTTCTTATGTAGCTGGAGTGTATGTATGTATGTATATGAGCCGTTTATTTTGAAAGTGGCAAAAGTGGCTATAAAGTGTTTTATAAACTAACTTTCGATGAAAAAGATGAATTTCTAACTTTGGATTTGTCACCAAAAAGAGGAAGACCCAGGCGTTATTCACAAATAGAAATGGATCCGTTATACGCTGGATCTCGTCCTGTTTCTTCAGCAAAATACAAAGACACGATGGACTTGCTTAATTATATACCCCAAATATACCACAGTTATTTAAAAAATTTGAAACGAAACACGATTTCCGAGGACTTAATCACTCCTATCGATGACGACAATGAAATTGAACCGATGTATTTTCATATAAATTACTTATACTTATGTTTCAAAATGTACTAATTATTTTTGTATTTTATGAATATTAAAATACAAAAATACTTACATCAGACCTTTATATTAAATATGTTCATGGTATAAATTATTATTATATGTGTAATTTATTCAACAATTTTAGTCAATCACTGTCCTTTCAAAACATCACTTCAGTAAAATACGTCGGACAAAATTAATATATGTCAGTCATTTTTCTGAA